GTAGCTAATTTACGCCAACTATGTGTACACCGGGATTATGGTAACGGTGCTACTGTTTGCGTTTGCAATCAAACCTATTGCGATGACTTGAGGCCAATCACCAGAACTCCCGCCGGAGTTGTAAAGCTTTATGAGACGTCCAAAAGTGGCGATCGATTTGCAGAGACTGAGCTCCAGTTCCTAACATCAGTGGTGAATAGCACAGCAAATGAGCCATCAGTTGCTTCTAAGTCAGTGACCATTCAATTGGATCGCAATATATTATACCAGAAAATAATCGGCTTCGGCGGTGCCTTCACGGACAGCGCCGGCCTTAACATACAAAGCCTTCCTCATGAGATGCAAAGAAGATTATTATCCGATTACTTCTCGGCCAATGGCATCGAATATAGTTTGGGTCGCATTCCTATCGGCGGCAGCGACTTCTCCACCCATCCCTACACTTACGATGACGTGAACGGGGACTTCACGTTAGACCACTTCGCCCTCACCGCCGAGGATCTCGACTATAAAGTCAGTCCATTTCCTATCACTACGATAACACTACAAATATATGAGTTTAAAAGTTTTAAAATAATAGTCTCGATACTTAATATTAAAAGACAAATAAGTTTATAAAGGTTTTTATCTCTAAAATAATATTTGCATTCATAGACAGAGTGTTAATATTATTTATAAATCACTGATTATGTGTGAAAACATAGCAAGGAATAGGATTTTTATTTATTTCCCGATCCAATACTCTTTCCAATAGATTCCATACATAAAAATGGCTCAAGAATTGAGTGCAAATGAAATCAAATTATACGGCAGTCCCTGGAGTTCCCCGGCCTGGATGAAGACTAACAAAAAGATAAACAACGGGGGGTTTCTTATAGGAGAGCCCGGAAACAAATATTACCAGACATTTGCTAATTATTTTGTTAAGTAAGTAATCAAATTATTAACACCAAATAAATACATTTCTATAAAAGCCTGCATATGAATGGTTTTGTCGCCAATTAGTATTTAAAAAAGTTTGTATTCAATTATGAAATACAACATATAATTCAGTCATAAAATGTGTAATTATGTTAATGTGCTTATGATTTTATAACTGAATTAAACACATGACTGATATTTTGCACATGACTTCTGTTTTGTAACAGTTTTAAGGAAATGAATTAAAAGTCTCATTGAATATCAATTTGACTTTTATACACATTTAACTATTTTTAAGATTCTTATCAGTAGCTAATGTATGATAAAATAATTATTCAGATTTCTGGACGCATACAGTAAACGAAACATAACTATGTGGGGGATAACCATCGAGAATGAGCCCAACGCTGGCTTTAACAGCAAATACCTGTGGAATAGTCTAGGATTTAGTCCGGAATTACAGCGAGATTTTATAAAACTAGATTTGGGCCCAACTCTGGCCAAAGCGGGCTATGGTATCGACAAACTGAAAGTCATGATAAACGACGACCAAAGGCCTACCGTCAGCGAGTGGGCCCGAGTCATACTGTCCGACAAGAAAGCGGCCAAATATGTGTCGGGCAGTGCTTTTCACTGGTATGAGAGCACGCCTGAGAATATAGCCCAATTAGACCTGGCTCACAATCAGTTTCCCGACTACTTTCTGTTGGCTTCCGAGGCCTGCGAGGAGTGGAAGGGAAGGACAGAGAAGGTGTCGCTCGGGAATTGGCACACGTTTGACAGATATGCCAACGATATTATTACTGTAAATACAGTATATTATACTTTTTGTTTATTTTTATATGCCTTACACTTGTAGACACTTTTTCCAATTCCTTTGTCACTCCAACACTGAATTCCTATTGTTTTTCTAAATACTTAATTCCTATATACTTGACATCAATTTCTTTTATAGACTGTGTTATTTAATTAATTGTTTATTTATTTTTATTTATCTTTATTTATTTACCAATAATTGAGTCGTTGGCATGACTTTTAATTAATGATTAGTGAATTGCTAATCATGCACTTAATATTAACTTTAATTTGTTTTATGCAAACCGTATATTAATTATAATTCTCGATGAGTGACATATCAATTATTATTTAGAGGTTTTGTTTTTAAAGCAAAATCTATTAATTTTTTGCATTAGGATCTCAATCACTGGACAGCCGGTTGGACGGACTGGAACTTAGCGCTAGACTTAGAGGGTGGTCCTAATTGGGTGGGAAATTTTGTGGACTCCCCCATAATTATAAATCAAACCAGCGCCGAGTACTACAAACAGCCCTTTTTCTATGCTCTGGGACACTTTAGTAAATTCTTGTCACCCGATTCCGTGCGTATTGGAGTCAATACGGGCGCCAATGAACTGAATGAACTGGAAGTGACAGCCTTTCGGCGAACCGACAATTCAACGGTACTTATAGTGTATAATAGAAATGATGAGCCCATAGACCTGTCCATTAATGACATCAATTGCGGTTCAGTCAATAGTCGTATAAAAGCCTATTCATTGCAGACATACATATGGTTTGATTAGAAAAGTTTGAAAGTTTTGAAAAGTTTTGAAGTTTGAAAGTTTTGTTTTTCACTGTTTCACATAATCTAATCTATTGTTCATAATGTTTACACGTATAGTAAAAACCGCAACAAAACACTTGCTGTTAAGAGATTTATGTTTTTTGTTACATATATATACCTGTATATGATTTTTTGCTAATTTTTCTAATGTTAAAGTTTAATCACATTTCCAATGAACCACTGTTTGTGTCAATTCATGCGATAAAAGCATTAATTATAAATAAATAACTTATTTTTTGTCAAAACATTTGAATTCTTTCCAATTTTAGCGCTTTCTATAAATGTATTCATTCATTATATTTAGATATAAATATATTATAAATATTTTCAGTCATGAGGTATTGTTATTATTGTTATATTAGCTCTAATTAAATGAAAACATTTGAGTCGTGAATCACTTATATAACGATTTGTGTTCCCATTAATCCTGTTATTACTGCCAAATATTGAACACTTAATTAAATATATTTTTAAATTAGATTAATATCTAATATGTTCTCAATATATATAAAAAGTAAAATTAGTTCATATTATTAAAGAGATAACTGATTTTTAAAATCCACTGATTATAGCGTTCACTTGTATTTCCTTTTTATGATTTTTGTGCAAACTTTTGTGAAAGCATTCAATCATATAATGTATAGGAAATGTAAACCTATTTTGAAAAGTTTTATGGAAATTAGTTTTATTATATTATAGCCATATTACTGTTTTTATTGAAATTTTTGTAAAATAATAGAATTTGTTAAATAATTATATTCATTAAAAATAAAGATATCAATACAGATATAATAATAATACGAATTAATCATGATTTATTTGTTGATTTTAGTTAAATTTTAATGTATAAATTGTTTTATTGCTTTAAATCATTTAAATTTTATATTTAATGAATAGTAATTTAAGTAATTAATGTTTAATGTGTAGTAAAATCTATATTATTAATTTTAAATGTTTAATGAAACACTGTGTTAAGCAATAATCTCTAACTTAAGCGAATTTTAATTTATATTTCAATTGTAATTTTGATGAATGAAAGTGAAAATGAATAAAATTATTCACTTTCAGTACGGATACGAAATATGAGTACAAATTGAGTGCAATTCTTAATAAGTAATCATTTATAGCCTACTATTCCGCACAATATTTTGTATAATGGATAAAAGGATTGAATTATAGGGTTTTATAAATTTTTAATTAAGTGAAAAATATAATATTATTTAATATTTTCGGAAATCTATTAAAGAAATTAATTTGAATAATGCGTGAGAACTATAAATTGAAATTATAAGCAATGAGGCGTTGAATTGATTAAAAATAGTTTTCAATTTTTTCAAACAAACAATAAGTGCTTAAAAATAAAGTTATAAATCATCTCAGAAACACACATATAAAACGCAAAATTAATTTTCAATACAATTTTCCTTATATTTTGTTTAAAAATGTAATCAATTGAAAAACATTATTGTTTTTTTATTTTCATTTTATTCTTATATCAAACAAATAAAGATTAAAATTCATAGCAAATAATATTATGACTTATTTATGCAAAAGAGTCAGTCGTTTGCATACAAACCAAATGATAAATTAAATACCGTTCTGTTGTGTACTAACCATTATTTTCTGAATAATTTATATTATATTTCTAAAATTAATTAATCATTTATTGAAATGAAAATAAATTCAATAAAATTGATTGAGATTTTGGGTTTCATATCACTCGTGTGGTTAGTAGTTTTGGTGGACCAGTGTATGAGCCAGGAGTGCATTTGTAATGCAAAATTTGTCGGTGAATATTGTGGCAATGAATTGAACGAGAAGTCTGAGTCGGGTGCCGGCAATTGCAGCTCTGAATTGATATACTTTTGCGGCAAANGAGCCAGGAGTGCATTTGTAATGCAAAATTTGTCGGTGAATATTGTGGCAATGAATTGAACGAGAAGTCTGAGTCGGGTGCCGGCAATTGCAGCTCTGAATTGATATACTTTTGCGGCAAAAGTAATATGAGAAAGACTGCCTTCGACCTGAGGTCCTGTACGGAAAAGGGATACCTTTGCAATAGTAAAGAAAATAAAGGTTTACAAAGTTTGACTATAAGTCAATATTTATAAATTATAATAATTAATATATGATTTAATAAGTGATTATTTTAATTAATTATTTAAACTTTCCTAATCCGTTATTCACATTTCTATCATGCCTAATTTTAGCCACTTATTAATTTATATATATTTTTATTTAAATTTTAAATTAAATTTGAGATTAAATTAAAAATTTAAATTGAATTTAATAATATATCATAAAATTATTAAACTAGTAATAATCAATTGACAATTATTTTGTAGACAACCCATGCTTTCAAAACCTTCGCTGCAATTGTGGTGATAATAATGGCCGCAGAAAAAAGTATTGTGGAAACGATTTGGTGGGTCCGGGCTGTAAGTCTAACATT